ATGAGGAGGCCTCCAGGGAATAGAGGGATATTGTGTGACCCATCAGTGCTCTACTGCACCCTGATTGACTCACCCCCTCCCTGCAACCCCTCCCTGCAACCCCTCTGTGGGGGGATGCCCCACTGTCCATAGATGGGCTTTGGGTCTCTGCAGTTTTTTAATTTTCTTAATCCATATCCCCTTTTAAGGTTTTTGTTGTTGTTGAGAATACTGGAGCATGCAAAGTAGTATAGCTAGAAAATGATCAAGAGCGTTGGGAACAGAAATAACACCCTCCATCTAGAGCCATAGGATTCCGAAGGCGATGTGTCCATCTTTCCCACCCTTCCCTGTGGAATTCTGCACAATTCCGTGTACATCACAATGGCAGGATTGGCACCCCAAGGACTCAAACCACATTATTTTGAAATGTTCTTTTGAGTTTAAGCCACACAAAGAATCCTGAAGGGGCCTAGAGATCAAGGTTGTAGGGTGGGTGCAGTAAGGATTCCCAGTGAAGTTCTTTTTTGTTGTTGTTTTTTTTCCTGTTTTCCTTCACTTTTATTAGTAATTTGTCGTTTTTTTGACAGCTGTCAGAGCTCAGGCCCTGAGCACACTGGCCTGAGTCCCAGCGCTGCTAAGTCCTGGCTGTGTGTTTATGGCATCTTATTTACCAATACATCTTCAGCTTGTTCAACTGCAAAATGAAAATAAAACAAATGCCTATTACATAGATTTGCTAAAAATCTTAAAAGAAGTAATTCCCTTTGCACAAGATCTGGAGCATAAATGTTTAAATAATGTTACTTTAAAAAGAATGATTACTATTACAAATATTTTAAACTTAGCTAAACTATCTTATCATTAGAAAATAATGACAAATTTGTTTTTAAGAATTCATTCATCAAGTGTTTAAAAATAGCTCCACCAAGGTATTACATAGCACAAATTCATCCATCTTAACTTTACAATGAAAAAGTTTCAGTAAAATGAAAAGAACCATGCCACCATCACACAGATACATTTTTAGACTATGTCTACCATCCCCTAACTTCCTTAGGTTGGAAGTTAATTTCCACTCTCATCCTCAGCCACAGGCAACCAGTTATCTGATCTCTGCCTCTATAAATTTGCTTTTTCTGAATATTTCATATAAATAGCATCATCTGACTTATTTCATTTAACATGTTTCCACCTAGTGAAATTCTTACAGGACTGCCCTGGGTCCCCTCAAAGCAGGTCCATTGTCGTGATAGATAAAAGTTGCCTCCGGGCAAATCTCATGAGCTGTTCCTCACTAAGGCAGTACTCATTTTCTGAAAACTTCTTCCGAATAAGCTCCTCTGAGATTATGCCATTGGAATCCCCCCAAAGAGTTGCTATCACCTTCTGACCTGATCTCTCTGCCTTGAATTTAACTGGCCCAGCAGTTCCCCTTGGAAGCCGCTGTTTGATTGCATTTTTTTAAGGCACCCTGGGAGAATGTGTCAACAGCAATCTACTGATTGCAGACATGTTTAAACACATTATTATTTTTTTAATTAGCCTGTGCAAGTATGAACTAGAACCCTAGGAGGACTACTTTTTCACTTACCCTTGTGTGCACAACCACAAACACCAAAGTAGACCATTTCTCCAGGTACAGTTCAGTGACACAGATTCTTCTTATGTCCTTGAAGGGGTGCCACCAACCAGCCTCACCTCCTTTTGTATGTCTTTCCTCCCCATGAACATGAACTCACTGCCCCCGACGTTTCCTGCCTGACCTTCTGAGTTGCCACTGCTTTGGTTGCCCACAGAGAGAGTTCTGTGTTCTTTGGAGGAGGGTGTTGAGCAACACAAGAAAATCCACGTGGAAGGGCATCTCCATGGAGCAGACTCTGTGAAGATGAGGCATTGATTCGGGTAGAAGTACTGGTGTAAGGTGGTATGCGTGAATGAGAGGCAGAAGGGCAAAACCCAATCGGTCCTACGGTATTGAGGACAGGCCACTCCTTCTGCCCTTTGAGCTCTCAGTGGTTTTTTTAGGGGTTTTTCCCCGTACTTTTATTGGGGGCTCTTACATCTCATCACAATCCATACATTCCTCCAGTGTGTCAAGCGCATTTGCACATATGCCGCCATCATCATTTTCAAAGCATTATCTTCCCACTTGAGCCCCTGATATCAGCTACCTATTTCTTTCCCCTCCCTCCCTCATCTGCCCTCCCTTACGAGCCCTTGATCAGTTATAGATTATTATTTTCATATCTTACCTCATCCTCTGTCACCCCTCACCCACTTTTCCATTATTTGTCCCCCTAGGAGGGAGTAATATATTGATTCTTGTGATCAGTTCCCCCTTTCTCCCCCCACCTAATCCTTTCTCCCCCTTATCCTCCTGGTATCTCTACTCTCATTGTTCGCCCTGAGGGGTTTATCTATCCTGGATTCCCTGTGTTGCCTTATCTGTAGCAGTGTGCATGTTCTGGTCTAATCTGATTTGTAAGGTAGAATTTAGGTCATGATAGTGGGGGGGAAGGAAGCACCAAAGAACTAGAGGAAAGTTGTGTGTTTCATCAGTGCTATACTGCACCCTGACTGGCTCATCTCTTCCCTGTGAGCCCTCTGTGAGGGGATGTCCAATTGTCTACAGATGGGCATTGGGTCTTCACTCCATGCCGCCCCCCTATTCACCTTGGGTATGGTTTTATTCTGGGTCTTAGATGCTTAATACTTGATCTCATCGACATCTCATGGTCATACAAGCTGGTGTGCTTTTCCATGTGGGCTTTGTTGCTTCTGAGCTAGATGGCTCCTTCTACCCCCAAAGTTTGATAAGAACTAATCATCTTCAGTGAGCACCGAGAGTCACCAAAAATGACATCCACATGATTAACAAACATATGAAAAAAATGGTCATGATCATTAGCCAATCAGCGCTAGGATAAAATATCATCTGACATGAACAAGGACAGCCCAATTACAACAACCCAAACAAGACAAAACCACCAATGCTGAAGAAGGTGTGGAGAGATCAGAACCCTGATACACCACTGGTGGGAGTGTAACTATGTACAACCCCATGTGGAAAGCAGTAAGGTGCTACCTCAAACAACTGGGAGTAGAAATCCCATACAATCCAGCAATATCGCTGCTGGGTGTATACCCTGAGGCTGCAAAAGACATAGCACCAACAGACACATGTACTCCAATGTTCACCACAGCACAGTTCACTATAGCAAGAAGTTAGAAACAGCCCAGATGCCCACCAATGGAGAAATGGATGAAGAAGCGTTGGTACATATGCACAAGGGAATACTATACATAGGTAAAAACAATGCAGAAACCACAAAGCTCCTCACGGTATGGATGGACCTGGACATTATTGTGCTGAGTGAAGTTTTTGCTGTTGTTAGGTGCCGTTGTGTTGGTTCCAACCCATAGCAACCCTCTGCACAAGAGAATGCAACACTGCCCAGTCCTGGACCACCCTCACAATTGTCCCTGTGCTGGAGTCCATGGCTGCAGCCACTGTGTCCATCCATCTCCTTAAGGCCTTCCTCTTTTTCGCTGTCCCCCTACTTTATCAAGCATGATGTCCTTCTCCAGGGACTGACCTCTCCTGACCACATGTCCAAAGGATATGAGACGAAGCTAAATTAATTACAACAAAACAATGTTGTGTGAGACGGCTACTGTCAGCATAAAGAGCAAGACAAAACTTTCATGCCCAAGGGAACAGACTGTGGCGCTTTCCAAGGCAGAGAGGGCGACGGAGGGAAGGAGAAGCACCCGTCTGGAGAGTCGGCCGGGGTTGACTTGGGTGCAAAGGAGAATGGAGGACCACGAGGGAGAAATCAGAGAAGGGGATTGGGGCAGAGCTAGTGAACGCAGAGCTGATGGTCTGAAATGCGTGTCCCCTACTCAAGTCTCCATGAAAACAGCAACAGCAGAGAGCACCCTTGGGAGAAGGGCTTGGCGAAGAAGGCATGGGAATGAATGGGAGCCAGTGGCTGTGTGGTTACAGAGGTTGTGGGGTAGTTGACTTGGACAACTCCCAGATGAACAACAAATTCTCCCTGATGTGATGCTATTTGTCTCCTTCACAGGTGAACATTGTACCACTGATCGCCAAAGCAGACACGGTTTCAAAAACGGATTTACAGAAGTTTAAGAGTAAGATCATGAGCGAATTGGCTGGCAACGGCATCCAGATCTACCAGATCCCGGCCAATGATGAAGCCAGTGCGTCGGTGAACTCACTGCAGGTAAGTGTCGGCAGAACCTGCTGCACAGGAGAGCGGTGCGCAGGGAGGGATGGAAATACGATGTGTGGCCCCATGGCGGCGGGTTGGTGTCGCCATACACAGGCCATCCATGAAGCAATATGTTTGTTAAAATCCAGGGTGGACAGCGAAGTGTCTATTTCCTGATTCAAAAAGGAAAAAAGTCTGCTGTGAAAAACTTCCTAAACATCTTTATTCTGCTTTCCTGTCTCTCAAACAAAATGGCACGAGTGGAAATCCTAGACACATGCCAAGTGGGAACATGGCTCATTGCCTTAGAAATCTATCTTTTTATTCTTTTACTTTAAACAAGGGAGACTCGGTAGGCTCCCGTGGAAGATACTAGCTCATAAACCTCGCTGCCCTCGGGCTGATCCTGACTCACAGTCAGCCTAATTCAGGCTTGTACGTGGACTTCTTGAGAAGTGGAAGAAAACCTCATTTTTCTCCTGAGGAGCAGCCCGTGGGGTTTCAACTGCTGACCTGGTGGTTAGCAGCCCAACCCGTCACCCAGCATTCCACCAGGGCTCCTGGGTGGAAGACATTAGAATCCTAAAACCCTTTCATAAAGAAGCTCTTTACAGCGATTGGGCACTCAACTGCTAACTGGAAAGGTCTGTAGTTTGAACCCACCCACCGCTCTGTGGGAGAAAGACGAGACAGTCTGCTTCCCTGAAGATCACCGCCTGGAAACCCCGTGGGGAAGATCTACTTTGTCCTAAGGGGTCGATTGGGCAGTAGGGAGCAGAGAGAGCACTTTGAGATAATTGGAGTGATTTACAAATAATACAGAGCGGTCCTCTGTCCTGACCCAGTGTCACCCGCCTAGAGCAGCTTGCAGAACGATAGTATACTATCATAACCATCGGTACTGCATCATGTCCTGCTGACATTGGCCTGGCCTCTCCCTACCACCACAGGATCCCTCCTGTTACCCGTTTATAACCACAGGTCCTCCCACCCGTCAGCCCCTCTTGACTCCTGGCCGCCACCAATCTATCCATTTCTTTAATTGTGTCGTTTTAAGAAAGCCATCTCAATGGGCTTGTACAGAAGACGGCCTCTGGGGGTTGCTGTTGTCCTTGTTTTCACTCGAAGAATACACTGGAGAACTAGCCGAGTTGCTGTGGGGAGTCCCCGGGTTCGTTTCTTTTAACTGCTAAAGAGAATCCCTCCTCCTGGATGTCCCCCAGTTTGTTTAACCAATTACCTGCTAAAGGACCTGTGGGCCGTTTCTGGCTGGTGGGGGTAGACATTGCAAATAGAGGTGCTATGAACATTCCCGCACAGGTATTTTGTGAGCTAAAAACCTTCCCCCTGTGCTCCCCATGGCAGGAGGCCTTGCTCTATTTCAGGGCAGAGGTTCCCAAACGTATCTGTCCTACGTGCCCCTTTCAGAAAACAGTTGAAATGTGGATGAATGGTTTAATGCCCCACCCCACCCCCCGGCCTCTTATTCCTATTCAACAAGTCCAACTGCATCCCAGCTACAACCACTGCCCCATCTGTGGAAACACTGCTTTCAGGCTTGCTTGGTGGATAGTTTTCCACTGTCTAGGGGGCCTGCTCAGGGTACAGATGAGACACACAACCCTTCTCTAGTCCTTTAATACTTGCACCCCCGACCCCCGCCACTGCCATGACGCAATTCTATCTTACAAATCTGGCTAGACCAGAGCATGTATACTGGTCCAGATAAGAGCTCAGCACACAGGGAATCCAGAACAGATAAACCCCTCAGGACCAATAAGGGGAGCAGCAATACTAGGAGGGTAAAGGGCAGGGGGTGGGGTGTGGAGTAAGGGGGAACAGATCACAATGATGGACCTATGGCCCCCATCCCAGGGGGGATGGACTGCAGAAAAGTGGGTGAAATAAGACAGCGGTTGGTGTAAGACATTGGGAAAAAATTTATAAATTAACAAGGGGACATCGGGGATCGAGGGGAGAAATGAGTTGATGCCAGGGGCTCAAGTAGAAAGAAAATGATGACAACATATGTACAGATGTGTTTGACACAATGGATGTATGTATGGATTGTGATAAGAACTGTAAGAGCCCCCAATAAAATAAAATTTAAAAATTTCTTTAAAAGGGGGACCTGCTACTACAAAGGTGGGGAGGCTCTGTTCTACTAAGGACCACCTGGTCCTGTATCATGTCATTCTCAGTCCCGACTAGTTAAACACTTAAATAACTCCCCCTAACGTGGTGGCTAAGGAACTCTGGTGGTGTAGTGGTCAGTGGGCTGCTGACCGAAAGGCTAGCATGTAGAAGCCACCAGCCAGTCCTCAGGAGAAGGACGAGACTTTCTGCTCCGTGTGACAGGGTCACCACCAGCCAAAATCTCCGTGGCAGTGAGGAACACGATAGCCGGAACTACCTGTCTTTGGTGCGGCATGTGACGTTAGCTGATATTGGTGATTTCTCAGAACTTATGCTTAGGGAAATCAACAGCTGTCGCTCAAAACTTGCTTCCATGAAGTCGATGCTGACTCATAGCGACCCCGAGGACAGAGAACTGCCCCTGTGGGTTTCAGAGACGTAACTCTACGAGGAAAGAACCTCCCTCTGAGCAGCTGGGGGTTTTGAGGTGCTGACCTTGCAGTTGGCAGCCCAGCGCTTCACTCAGGACACTACCAGGGACCCCCCAGATCAGCAGCAGTTGCCGCCAAGCCAGCCCTCAAATGTGGGGCAGGGAGAACGCTCCTTGAGGATCAGTTGACAACGGGAGTCTGATGTTGGGAGTGAGAAGTGAGCGGTGTCCCGGTGTCTTTCCAGGAATGTCTGCCCTTTGCCGTGGTGGGAAGCATGGACGAAGTGAGAGTTGGGAAGAGGACAGCCAGAGGCCGCCAGTACCCGTGGGGAGTGCTACAAGGTAAACCTGGCGCATGTGAGCTGGATGGAGAACAGTGATGGTGAACACACCAAGTCCACTCCAGAGAGCGTCTTAACTCACCAAGGGGTGCTGGGAGGAGGGCTGGTCAGTGGTAGCGTTCTCTCGCCTTCCATGCGGAGGCTCGTGTGCTGCCGTGATGCTGGACACACTGCGGCAGTTTCCAGACCACAGCTGAGTGGAAGAAAGGCCCGGCGATCCACTTCTGATGAAGACCCTGCAGATCAGAGCAGTGGGGTCCTCAACAGGATGGCAGTTTTGTCCCATTGTGCACAGGGTCACGTGAGTAAGATGCTCGCCTGATGGCACCTAGCACCAACCGAAGCGACAGATGGACAGTTCCTGATGCTCACTTGGGCTTAGATTCATTTTCACAGGAGTTGGCCAAATGCTTCAGGTCAAAGCCCACAGAGGCCAGGCAGAGCCTCCTGGTCTACCCACAGCTGCTGCATACATGATCTCTCTCTCTGCCTATGCTCTCTGCCTACCAGAGCTTTCCCCCTAGTCTGTTGTGGTCTGGAAGCTCCGCTGAAACCCGCAGCATCCTCACAACAGGCGAGCCTCCGCCAGCACACACACGGTGGCTGCACTTCGGATGCATTGACCGGGCACATAAATATGAATCATTACCTAATGTAGAAAGGATTTTTGAACAGACCATGAGAAAAAAGAATGACCAAGCATTTCTAAAACAATATATGATTGATCTTCACCTTTGGCTGAGGATAATTGTGGCACGCTGGTGACATCGTGGATTACTTATTGGACTGCTCACCACAAGGTCAGCAGTTCAAACCCACCAGCCACTCTGCTGGGAGAAAGATGAGGCTTTCTACTCCCGTAAAGAGATACAGTCTTGGAAGCCCACAGGAGACGTTCTACTGTGTCCTGTAGGAAGCTAGGACTGTGAGCCAGAATTGATGATTAAAAGACCCTGGTGGCACAGTGGTTCAAGTGCTACTGATTGTGATGTGAGTGGCTTACACCCACCAGCTGCTCTGAGGCTGTCTGCTCTGGTAAAGAGTTACAGCCTGTAAATCCTATGGGGCCGTTCCACCCTGTCTTGTAGGGTCAGTCTGAGTTGGAATCGACTCTTTGGCAGTGAGTTTCATTTCTGGTTTGGAAGGCGTCATTGATGTTTATCTTGTGGGTCAAGCTGGGCTATTGCTTATCGGCAGGCATTTTCTGGTTCATATACTTGGTGATGTTAGTCAATGAGGAACCTATTCTCGTTACCTAGATTAAAATTTCTAGGTGGCAGTGTTTTTTTTAAAAAAAGAATGCATTTAAAAACATTAAACACGGAGCTCCCCTTGCAGAGGGGTCTCAGGGAGGGGACCAGCTAGTCAGGGTG